AGCAATTTTCAATCTGGAATTTGACATATGCTTCAATGGAGCCTTAATTTTGAGGATCTGGTATAATGGTATAATGAGTTGCCAGGACTGGGATGAAGGGAGCATAAGGAGAAAGAACAATAATATTTATAGTCCTTGCTTTTGAGATAATGTCTTATCATGTCTGAATGTCTCAAAGGGCTTCAATGCCTTCTTTTTTCTGTGAAGGAAGTTTATGCTTTAGAGGTGGTGATGCATAAATTGCAAAGGGAATACCAATGGAGGATTTGGGCAGCTATATGTTCAACGATAAAGTAGTAATCCACATCTTTTCACATAATAACAATAATCCTTGGATTTTGTTTAGCAACTTTCATGTCAGAAGGATTTTGCAAGGCGCTTGACAAGATTTCATGTAAAGTGTAGTGACTGTATTTGTGGGCGATCATGACAGGCAATTTGCTCGCAGAAATGTCCTTCAAACAGCCATGAAATGAATGTCCAATTTTATCTGGGGGTCTGGTGCCCTGGACATGGAGAGAATCTCACTTTCGCATTGAATAGTGCCATGGGATTTTTAATGTTCATCTGAACGGACAGATGGGGTCTCATCACCCTCAACTTTGAGTAATATTCCCAATGTGGAGCTCAACCTCACACCTTCTGACTCAGAGGCAAGCATATTGTTGCATATAATGAGCTAACACAGTTGTAACCTCCTTCTGTGCTGTATCTCGTATAATATGTTGAAGGATCCTGTTCTTTCTGCTTCTATAGTTCACTGAACAAAATACAGAATTGTGGAAAATTCTTAAATGCAGTTTTAAATTGAAAGCTGATTATTAAAAAAAATAGAGACTGAAGCTGAAGAATTTTCCACATTTCTGTGCAGTCTTAAATTTAAGGCAAAAAGTTCTGAACAGGTTCAGACTGTGTGGAATTTTTGACCAGCAATATCTTGACTGCATTTGCTGATGGTGTGTGTGAGCACACTTTTCAGTGAAGTTTGTGTGGTAGTACAAATAACATTAATATGCTCACTAATCTGCTCAGTGGTAGAAACATAATGATAAATCATGAAAACATTGGTTTTGAGATTGCACTTTATTTTCGCCCACAAAATATACAGTTGATTCACTTTACAGTATCTTCTGTGAAACGCTTTGAGACTTCTCAATGACATGATAAGGCAAATGCAAGGATTATTATTATTATTTATTAGTACATAATAAACCCAGGTTTCAAAAGCAGCACTTTGTTGCCGTGAGAGGGGGAAAAATACATCATACGAACAACTACAAATTTAAATTTATAGGAAATGGCAAGCTTACTTTTAGAGAAAAGTTTGAAAGAATAATTAATCCAGGTACTTTATAGGTGAGCACAGGTGAAATAAAACCTAGACTGGGTAAGAGATTTCTTATCTGGCATCTTCGATTAGGTACATTTAGGATATTCGTTTGAAACTAACATTGTCCATGTCACCAATTACGCTGTAGTTGGGTGGTGGGAAAGAGAAATAAAACTATAAATAACAATCCATGCATTTGATACAGTATCTTTCATGACTGCAGGACGTCACAGGATATTGCAGTGACTGTGTAATTTGTAGGCACATGGCTCTCAATGGTGTAACAATGTAAGGGGTAAAATTCCACCCGGATCTCAATTTACTCTATTGACTTAGCATGAAAAAGTGAGCAGAATTTGGTAAACTCTTTGAATACAGTCTCAATCTTGAAACTATTTTTCTGCAAATTTCTTTTAAGAACTACAGAAAAGTGGACTCAAAGTTGAGATTTATTTCAATCATTTGCACAATCTGAAAGGCTACATCAATAGTGGGAGATGGAATATCTCCCATCGTGTGACACTGTGCACAGAAGGTTGCCCCTGAATGCCAGTGGGAGGAAGGATTGACCTATATTGTGCATGTTAGGATTTAGACTGACACTGGCACTTTGAACATAGCTTTGTTGTTTAAATTTTGGTTAGATAACGTTTTAGACCAAACAGTAAAAAATATAGAAAGTTTGTGTGCTCACGAGGTGAGAGTTTTGTTTTATTTGTGAAGTTGTCTGAAAAGCAGAAATATATGACCATCACGCTAAAATGCACACATTGATTTCCCATGGGATGAACAACAAAATCCACAGTGCTTGTTGAGCATAAATGTGGTCAAATGTTCTATTGTAATATTGGCAAATCAAAAATCATCAAAGTTGAACCATCTATAGATAGACTCTTTGCTGGTCTGACTCATTCCTGTCTCCCAAAATCCTGCATGCTTTTCGCCTTAAACCAACTGTTGTATAATTTAATCCTTTGGATGAAACATGAAGAGCATAAGAATTTGCTCAGTAAAAGAAGACCAAGTTCGAGCTACTTCACTTTCCACCATCCTGGCAATCGCTTGACATGTCATGTCCCAAACTATATACTGTATCCTGAGATATTATCTTCAAGCAGAAGTCTATCTAATTTGTTCTTAAAACAAACAACACTTTCTGCTTCCATCATCTCCCTGGGGAGTCTGTTCCATAAATTTACTACTCACTCACTGAAGTAGTGTTTCCACAGATTAGTTGTGAATTTACCCCTCTTCAATCGCAGGCATATCCTCTGGTTGGACTGTTCAGTAGAAGATAAAATAGCTTATCATGGTCTACATTATCTAGTCCCTTCAGAATCTTAAAGACCATAATCATATCGCCCATCAACCTTCTCTTCTCCAGCGTTAACATGCCCAGTTTATCTAATCACTCCTCATAGTCCATAGTCCATCACCAACTGGCTCCTCCGCCCACCCTCTCATGTCTCATCCTCACCTCCAAAGTCAACTGCGAGGCGATGCTGAACTTCCTCAAAACCGAAGTCAAAGGGATCTGCTCAGCTGCCTCTGCCCTTCCATCCGCCACCCCCTCCCATCTCCTAGTCATACCCCGGCCCCTAACCATCCCTTCCTCCACATCTTTGAATCTGTCTCCCACTCCTCCCTGACCACCACTGTAACCTGCAAGAAACCGACTACCTGCTCTTTCAAACCCATCTCTACGCCTCTCCTTGCCTCCCAGCTCCACCTCCTTGCCCCTCTACTCACAGACATCATAAACCTCTCCCTGCCCACTGGTACCATTCCCACCCCTTTAAAAATGTCCCTTATCACTCCTATCCTTAAACCCCCCCCCCCCCCCCCCGGACCCATTCCTGCTCTCAAACTACCACTCCATCTCCAACCTCCCTTTCCTCTCCAAGATCCTGGAACGAGTCATTGCTTCCCAGCTTCCTTCCTCTCCCGCCACTCCCTTCACAAACCCCTCGAATTAGGTTTCTCTGCCACCCACTGCGCAGAAACAGCCATTTGTCAAAGTGACAAATGACGTTCTGTCCATATGCGACCAGGACTCCCTCTACCTCCTCCTTGACCTTTCTGCTGCCTTCAAAACTGTTGACCACTCTACCCTCATCCACTGCCTCTCCTCTCACCTCAACCTTCACGGTTCTGTCCTTGAATGATTCAGATCATAACTCTCACACCGTCTCCATTTCACCACCACAAATGGTTTCGCCTCTAGCCCCCACATCATCTCGTGCAGCATTCCTCAGGGCTCTGTCCTTGGTCCCCTCCTCTTCAGTATCCATATGCTCCCTCTTGGTGGCATCATCCGCAGACATGGGATCAACTCCAAATGTATGCGGATGACATCCAACTGTACCTGTCTGCTTCCACCCTTGACTGCAGAACCTCTGCTGTCCTGACAGATTGTCTGTCAGTTATCAAGTCCTGGATGAGAGCTAACAATCTTCAGTTGAACATCATCAAAACTCTTGATTGGCTCCCATCAGCGCCTCCGCACCTCAGGCGCTGATAGCATCATCATTCATGGATGCAATTCTATCTTACCAAGCCAGTCCGAAACCTTGGCATCTTGTTTCAAGCTCAACTGTCCTGTCTACCCCACATGCATGCCAGACCCGCTCTGTCTTCCCCCACCTCTGCAAAATCGCCCTGCTCCGCCACTGTCTCACACCACAGGCCACCAAAACCACCTTCATTAGTTTTGTGTTATCAGTAAATTCAGCCACTGTGCTTGTGACTCCTTGCTCCAAATCATTTATGAAATTATTAAGTAAAAGACGTCCAAAAACAGATCCCTGTGGAATTCCACTGGTAACATTCTCCCAGCCTGATGACATTCCCTGTACCACCACCTTCTGGATTCTATCAGTCAGCCAATTATGTATCCATTGCAAGATACTTCCATTAAACCGAGGTGCTGCCTTTCTGATCAGGTGTCTGTTAATGATCCCACCATACAACTCAAAAAGAGAAGGGAGTTTTCCCAGTGTCTTAACCAACAATCCATCAGGTAAAAAATATGTATCATTTCATGGGTATTTGTCGGACTTTTGTGAGCTGCTGCGTTCACCTGTAAAATACTCAGTTACTATACTTTACATTAAATTCTGTGAAGCACTTTGAGACATCCTCGTGATGTGAAAAACTGCATATCAAATTCAAGAATTATGATTATTATTAATGATCAGAATTTGTTTTCAAAAATTCTGAAATTTAGTCTTGATTCGGAAGAGTTCTTAAAAAACCCTGGGAAGAACTAGTTTCCAAATATAAGAATTCTACAAAATTCTGCACAATCTTTTAAAATCTTGAATAATTTGGGGCCTTTGATTTCAGTTTGATTGCTGTGACTTGCATTTTTTTTAATGAATCAACTGAAGACATAGTAATAATAATTCTTGCATTTGATATAACTCCTTATCATGTCTTCGAGACATCCCAAAGTATTCGGTGTTATGGTGTCATGATGGTAAAAGAACAATCTACGTACTGAACTCACAGGTGGAAATTGAGGTCATGTTACGTTTCTGTTAACTCTGCAAAATCTGACACAAATAAATAAAAATCAAACTTCTCTTGATAGAAATTACTATTTTTATTGGTGGTTATTGTTCCTTCTGCTGTCAGTGCCGTACTTAAGGTTGTTGTTTTTCTCTTACAGTAAAAACCTGTGGGATTAATCTCCAAGGTCCAACTGGTAGCTTTGTGTCTCCCAACTTCCCCTTTCAATACGACAGCAATGCTCAATGCGTTTGGATAATTACAGCAACAAGCCGTAATAAGGTAAGTAAAATTCCAAAACGACATCTGTGGCTTTGCACGTCAATAAAATGAGTAATGTCAAATGCTTTCATTTTTGTAATCCAAGCATTACTCAACATCAATGTACTCTGTCAAATGACTCTGCCTAATCTGTACATGTGATACACATCGCAATGTGGATACACATATTTTGAATTATAAATGTTACAAACCACAGACATGCATTCAAGCCTGGATGCCTTCCAGGTGGTCACTGTCATCTTTTAAGATGTTATTTTACTAATTTAGCTGTGTTGTGATATGCAGAAAGTAAACTTTATCCAGGCATTGTGAGTTTATTAGATTATCTTGGAGTCCTGGAGTTCAATGGTTAGAATACTCGCCTCACAAGTGAGAAGACCTGGGTTTGATTTCAGGCAGGGAGAAACATTGGGCAATATTCCATATTCCACTCGCCTCTGTTTACCTTGCATTGAGTAGGAACCTGGGTGTTAGTTGATTGGCAGATCGTTTTTTTTGAGGTTAGTAATTCCTTCAAAATAAACAAAAAATTATCTGGTCACTCAATCCACGACTGTTTGTGGAACACTGCTATGCTCAATTGACTGCCACGTTTTGCCCACAAAATATTCACTTTATTTTCACTTTACAGTATACACTGTGATGCGCTTTGAGATGTCTCAAAGACATGATAATGTGCTGTATCAAATGCAAGGATAATTATTATTATTATTTATCAAGGAAAGCGGTAACATTCCCAAGACTATTTTAACTCTTAAACACAGTTACTGAGGAAGCTCCGGATAATTTGTCTGATCCTGTCAATTCATTTCTCTTGTAACCTTTGGATGATATAGTGAGCCTTCATGATATTTATTGTATCCAATCTTTGAAAAGGTAGTGCAAATTTTCAAACCTCATGTTGCCATCCAGAGTGCATGATTACTCAGAGACAAAGAGGTTGAAATGATGCTTTGAATGACATAACGGCTGGAAAACAGTGTCAGCCTGGCTCAGTGGTAGCACTTTCGTCACTGATTCAGAAGGTTGTGAGTTGAAGCTCCATCTCAGAACTTGGAATCACACACCAGTGCAGTCCTGGGGATGCATTGCATTGATGGATGTGTCAACCTTTGAATCAGACATTAAACCTTGGTCCTATCTGACTGATCAGGTGGGTGTTAAAGAAGGCATTGCACTAATTAAAAAGAGAAAGGAGGTTATCTGTGTGTCCTGGCCAACAAATTTCCAAAATAAAATAGGTCACTCAGTGTTTGTAGGACAATGCCATGTGCCAACTATGTGCCAATATGTGCCATATTTTGCCAAAAAATACAGTCAATCCACTTTACAGAATACCCTGTGAAGCGCATTGAGGTAAGTTGACGATGAAATAAGGCTCCATATCAACTGTAAGGATTATTATTGTAATAGAAAGCTGTTGTGATGGAAAATGTTTTGACTGAAGGAAAATCTGTGTACAAAACCAGTCAGTACTTCTGCATTCATTTATTTTGTGTTGTGAGCAATGTTGTGTTCAAATCCAAATGACCTGGACCCGATTCCAACTTACAACCCTCTGAGCAAATCCAGTGACTGGATCTCCTCTCCGTCCTGACTGGATGTCGCATTTCCAGTTTCTCTGCTTTTCTTTGAAAGGGCATATCGGTCTCTGATCTACTGATCCCAGCCAACAGAAGGCCGAAACATAGTTATCCTGACAGTGGCACCCCCGGCACGAATGAATCATGGGAAGGTATCCCTACACATCCAGTCCTCAAAGGGAGGGTAATGGCAGGCACACAGCCCAAAGTGTAACTTATAACAACAGATACTACACTTGATCTGAACCTAAAGGTTGGATGCTTCTGCATTCACATTGCGTGTCTGCAGAAAAGCAGCCTGCTTCCTGCAATAAAACTTGCTGACGTCTGGGTGATGAAGTTGCTGCCAATGTCACTTCCTGGCCCCTGTGAGTACCCAGCAGGTATGAGATGAGGTGACAGCTGCAGTTTTTTTTAGGGTATAAAAAGCTTGCTGGTTTTTGATTAGCCAATCGATGTTCCATACATCTTAGATTTTTCGGTTTGGTTAGGTAAGTGTCAGGGTTCACCCCTTAATCATGATAAAATGATTAATGAACCCATATTTGTAAAGAAGCATGCTATAATTGGGTTCCACTGTGTGTATTTGATTTGCCTATACCTATGTTACGTATGTGAATTGGGAACTGGCTTGTTACTTATACCAACCATTGATGAGACTAGAGTTTCCCACACTGACATTTGTTCAGTCAAATGAAACAAACAGAGGTACACTGCAGTCAATCCCACATGAAGTAAATGGATAACATTGCTAAAACAGGATGTGTAAGATTTGCTGAAGCAGCTGGAGCTCAAATGTTTCTCCCAGGAAGAATGGAACGCTATAATTTGTCAGCATTAAGAGGTTCTGTTGTAATCCATGTTCTCCTGATCATAACCATGAAGAAAAATTGGGAGTTTTACCCTTGAAGAATTTCACACATAGGCAGGGTAATTTTCACTGTAGCACTGTTTCTTGATGCTTGACAAAAGGCTGATTGCATAGTGTTTGTCTTTTGAGGGTATATATAATAATACTGAAGTGTTTTCACTGAGTTTCAGAATACTTTGGAGGAGTCTAGTTCCATTTGGTACAATTCTGTGAAATTGAAAGAAGAACTTTAGGATCATTTTAAAACTTTTCATAGCAGTTCATAAATATTTATCATCCAGTGCAGTGGTTGTGTTTGTTGGGAAGCATGTAGCTATTTTGCACACATCAAAGTACCCAAAACAGTCATAAGGTGAATAATCCATTTATCTGGAGAACTGTTGACTAGGACACTGGGAGAAACTCTCTTCAGTTTCAGAATAAACAACAGCAACAAATTGTATTTGGATAGGAGCTTTCACATTGGGAAGACTTCCCAAGACACTGGACAGTCAACGGTTTGCACATGAGCTTGTGGTTGGATGATCTTATAATAAAACATTTAAAGTGCACCCATTTATTGAGCAGTTTCTACTGTCAAATTGTAAAGTCTTTTACAGCAGTCTCAACACCAAAAGATAATGCAAGAAGTAAGTTTTCAACAACAACAATAACAACATGCATTTATATTGCGCCCCTCACGTAGGGTAGGCATCCTAGAGTGCTTTCCATGATAGTTAGCCAGAATAACATTTGTAGTTCACAGGAATATGTAAATTTCCAGAAATTAGAGAAATTGCCGTGTTTCCCTTAAAATAAATCAAATTAGCCTATGTGCAACATTGCATGGGGATTTCAAATTCAAGTTAGATATTCATTTCAAACCTTTCAGATTAAGAGTAGTGTACAGAAAGCACATGGAACCATGTTAATTTCCTTTGAATCATGTGGCAGTAAAATGTGGCCTCACATTTCCAGTCTAATCTAGGATTTTCCTATCAGAAAGGAGCTGTCCACAGAGGACACTTTCCTGTCAAATGTAATCAGTGAGTGGCAATGGATTGATCCTTAAATTACTCTTGTGACACATGCTTAGGGAATTAAGGATGATAAAAAAAAACTTTGGGATGCTAGGAGATAGACTGATTGTGACAGAAAAACACAATCAAGGGAAAAGGGTGGGAAGGCCATTTTCTTTGCATTAAAATGTCAATTGCTGGTTTAGGAATTGAGTTAATTCAGATATGATTTTAATTTATTTATCAATAATTTTTGCATTTTATGGAGTGCCTTTCATGTCAGGAGAATGTCTTACAGTGCTTCCCAAGATATACTGTAAAGTCTAGTGTCTGGATTTTGTATCCATCTGCACACTCCTGAATCCTACCACCAGCCATGAAGTAAGTAATTGCAATTTAATGAATTTAATGTAATTCATTAATTCACCTAGAAATTACATTGTCACTACACTTTAAAGACAGAGAAAGAGGGGTCAAGGCGGACAGATTCAGGTAGAGAGTTTTAGAGGTTAGGGGATTAGTGGCAGAAGGCACAGCCAACGATGGTGATGCAGAGGGGTTGGGAAACAGCAGCAGGGGTATCTCAACTGAGCAAAGGGGAAAGGCAGAGGAATGCGTTACAAGCAGATCAGACAGGTAGGGAGATGCTAGATCATGTTAAAACAATCCCCCTGGCCAATAATCCCCATCCCCCCCAAAAAAAATATTGGGCATTTATTTCATGGCTATTTGTGGGACATTTGCTGACTTCAAATTACCTGCTGCAATTGCCTACATATAAACACGCACTACACGTAAAAAAAAATATTAGTGATTGGTGCGGATGGCAAGGTATTTTTTTATTAGCCCAATTGATGCAACGTAGAGTGGAAAGTGAATTGTGCTAAGTGCTGTGTGGAGTTCTGTAGCTCAGTTCTGTGCGAGCACTCGCCTCGCAAGCAAGCGACCTGGGTTCGATTCCCAGCAGGGCGAAACGTTGGACAAGTTTCCTTACTCCACATGCCTCTGTTTGCCTAGCAGTAAGTAGGAACCCGGTTGTTAGTCAATTCTCGGATCGCTTTTCCGGGGGTAATAATTCCTTCAAAAAAGTGGTCAATCAATCCATGACTGCTTGTGGGACACTGCTGTGCGTAATTGTCTGTTGCATTTTGCTCACAAAATAAATAGTCAATTCACTTTACAGTATATTCTGTGAAGCGCTTTGACATCTTTGACTTGATAACGCACTCTATCAAATGCTTGGATTATTATCACTATTAGATCAGTAAAAAGGAGTGAGTTGGCTTCGATTCCTGTACTGTAAACTCTGCAATATTAGTGAGACAGGGTCTTTACACAGAGGGCTGTGAAAATGTGCACTGGAGGCCAAAACAAACTGGGTTGTTTAAAAGGCAAACAGACCAGACATACAGACTTGGGAAATTAAGATATTTAGGGGTATAGAGAAAAGTCAAAGTAGAAAGATCTGCTGCGATGTAATACAATGCAATTTACACTTAACCTTTGGAGCAGATTCAATGGCTGAATGGCCTTCCCCTGTTCTCTCAG